GCTAAGTTCTCTAACCCAGAGACTTCCTGCCATGCTGTTGAGCAACATCACCTCCCCCAGGAGGTCCCCTGTCCTTCTCCCCTGCCAGAGGCCCTTTGTCTCCAGTAAGCCTCTGAAAGGTCTCAGGCTGCACAGGACTAACCTCTCGTGCAACCCTGGAAAGCATCTCTAGTTGGAGCTCATGTGAGCTCCTGCCACCTGTGGCCATCTCATTTTTCCTTGATCAGCCCCAAATCCATTGAACCTCTGCAGAGACGCAGAGGGAAACCTGCCATCGAAGGAGAGGCCTTTACTCGGTGACCAGAGACACACAGGGGCAAATTGCCTTTCACTTTACCCCACGCTCTCCACACCAACCTAACCTGCTGCCAGCTCTGGGTGGTCTCTCACCTGAAAGCCCTGGAACTCTAGGTTTCTGCACCCAGAGGCGCAGCAAGAGCAGACATGTGCCGTGGGTGTGCGGTCGTGATGAGAATCTGAAAATCCTAGCTTCCCCAGCAGGGGGAGAGAGTGCAAACACATCACACTGCCTTCGGGAGCCCTGTACCTGCTCTTTGCCAACGCCTGTGGCTACTGGAGCTACAAGACACTTCCTGCTCAGAACTGGGAACTGTGGCGATCCCTACCTCTGGTGACTGTCTCCTGGCCCAGCTGCCTGCGGCTTTCAGGTCATATGCGGCCTCTTCACTGTTAGGGGTCTCTGCCTCCTGACGGCCAGCTCCAGCCTGCTGCTGGCCATTGCAGGTCTACTCTGAGCCTGTGTCTCTCACCCTGGCCTTACCTCATTTCAGCCTTGCTCAGCGCTCTTACGTCTGGGTGCTAACGAATCAGAAAGAAGTCTCTACGGTCGCCCTTTCACTCTGGCCATGGCTTCTTTCTTGTTTCCCCCAGAAAAAAATGGGGAGGTATTTTCTGAGGACTTGCTCTTGGCAAGGCCTTGTGTTGGAAGCTTGAGATTGTCAGAGTGTCTGAGACTTGGTACCTGCTTTAATCAGCTCAGTGCCTAGTTGGAGAACACACACACACACACAAAAAGTATGCTGAAGAAAAAAGCACAGGTCAAATCATAAGTGCTCAGCGCTTGTCTGGCCTTGCAGGGCTCTGTTAAATTGCTTCCCTCTGCCCCCCACATTCCAGGGACGATTCTGTCCATTGCACCAGGGTCCTCCTCAGGCACATGCCCTGCACCACTCTGCTTCCCTGCCCAGGGCTTTCTCACAGCCCCCTTAGCCTCTCACCTATGGTGGGGGAGCCAGTGCCCCCACAGGTACCCCTCCACCAAAGTGGGCAGGAGTGTGTGATGAATGCCCCGCCCCCACCTTGGGCAGTACACACCTGTGAGCTTTCTATGCAGCTCCTCATCAGGCCCCCCGGAGTGGAAAGCAATGACCATCATAAAGGCACTCTTGTACTGGCTCCTCCCCTTCGACTTCGCCCACCCTGCCCTTCTGCTTCCAAGTCACCTGTCCAGTGACTTAACTGCAGCAAAGTCCTCCCAGCAGGCTCTGCTTGCAGGGAAACCACACCCAAGACACTCTCATCTATAATGTGCAGGATTTGGGCTAGGCAACCTTCTTGGTCCCCTCTAGCTCTAGAAACACCTGAGTTTTTAAACAAGAAAAGTAAATCCCAGAAAGTCTTGCTCAAGGTCACGCAGCTGGTTAATGGCACACAGGGCAAGAGCCTCGTGTGAAACTATCTTGTTATGTCAGCTTTCCCAGAACTGTATCAACAAAGCCATTTCTAAGAAAAGCCCCCTATCATGATGCTTGGAAGCACTAAGCTAATAACCCTCAGCCTTGATCCAAAACACCCATCTTATAACTTTATAGAAAAGAATTGACATCTGAAGGCAATTTTGGTTCCCAGAGCCCTCGTCCAGCCAACAGCTTCACAGGAGACAGAACCACATTTTTTTATCGTGACCTGCACTAGATGTGATAAAATCTCTTTTCCGGTTATTTCAGGGGCTTCTCTATATAGGAAGCTATTTTTTTATTAGATGAAACTCTCATCTATATTCTGAGAGGCTGTTCACCCAGTTTATATAAGTTATTCAAAACATCAGAAGGATGGTTTATAGAAGGAAAAATATTCACGCCCATGTGTAATTTATGGAATGTGTACCAATAAGTGTACTTGATGGATTTGCACCAAAATGCCGTTAGCAAACATAAAAGTGTGGCTAGAGACCACAAAGTGATGGAAATGGAGTGAAAATAGCCTCATGCTATATATTCCTGAACAGCAAACCTTAAAGGGCATATTGGTTGATTAAGAGTGTGCTTTGATAAGAAATTGGATTTTGGTTAAGAAATCATGATGTTATGTAATGGAGAATGTGCTGAAGAAAGAGACAGGAGATTTCTTTGGGCTTCTGTTTCTTCTTCAAAATAAAGCAAACTAATTAAAATATTTGTGATGGGTCTTTCAGCTCTAAATATTTATAATTCATTGATGTTGCTGGTACTACCTGTTATATGTAGGCAGTAAAGCAGAGAGACTAAAAGCATGAACTCTATAGCCAGGCTCGGTTCAAATGCCAGCACCATCATTTATCAACTGGGGTGTTTTCCAACACCAACTACCAATTCTGTGATTACAGATACCAACATTCAACAATTCAATTCAGTTCTGACACTACCCGGAGCTAGCTCAGACCCTATAGATTAAAGGCTCAGTCCCACAGGACTGCCCCCCAACTTCAAATGTCAGCCACAAGTTGCAAGGAACAGCCAAACAGAAGCAGTACCTAGGGCACAGTTTGGGCGGCAGGGCTTCCATGCCCTCTCTGGTACCATCCTTCCAGCTCCTCTACGCACTCACCAGCCAGAGCTCTCTGAACATTGTTATTCAAGCAGTGTTACACACCTTAATCTCCAGCCTCTCCCCTTTCTGGAGCCATTTCCATTTCTGGGTGATGCTGAAAGTTCCAATCCTCTAATCACTAGGTCTTTTGGGGAACCAGGTCCATCTTGAAGCTATCAAGGAGTTGCAACCCAAGTCCCCTCATTAGCATAAACTCAGGTGTGCTCAAAAGGGGATACTTATGGGGTACAGAAGACACTCCCATCACTCAGGAAATTCCAAGGATTTTAGAGGCTCTGTACCAGGAACTGAGAACACAGACCAACTATTTATTATACCATGCTAACCATGTGCCTTGACAAGTTTCTTGACCTGCCATGCTTCAGGTTCCTCTGCTGTAAAATGGGTATGATAGTAGTACTTCCCTCAAAGAGATGCCATGAGGATTAGATGAGTAAACACAGTAAAAGCAGCAGGGTGGTAGCTAGTGCTTGTTAAGTACTATATGAAGTACCTATATAAAGTTTTGCTGGTCTTTTTCATTAGACTGAAAGATAGAGGGAAAGGTCAACATAAAACAGGGCAAAGTCAGAATGACTTGGGAAACAGTGCTGTTTATAAGTATAAAAATTAATTCCAATTAACAAAGTGTTGCCAGATAGAGACCTTAACAGGTTTTCATTAATAATGAGGTAGAGTCACCAGTAATTAGCACACTAGTAACTTATATACAAATAGGAGGTGATAAAGTTAGTGACTACTTTGTTCATTTCAGTATTAGCTTTTCCTTGTCTTGTTTACAACAGGCAGGTAGGGCCTGCCAAGGACAGGACAATTGTGCCTACATTTTTTTTAACTGTTATTGTGGGTTGCATTAAATGAGGTATAATGCACTGATGAAAGGAGGTGATGGTCTCATGGTATTCTACTCAGCAGACCTCTTCCGGACTGCTTTTGTCTAGTTCTATCACAAACCTGGAAAAATGAGGTATGACCACTAGAGGGCAAACTGATGATGAAGGGTGTGAAGCAGATGGCAATTAGAGGTGTTATGTGAAGAATAAATGGCTGGAGACATCATAGTAGCCTTCAAATATCAGATTTAGTGTGTAAAGCCCCAGAAACTAACACCATGTCCAATGGTGGCTGTTTCAAGAAGGTTGATTTAAAATAAAAAAGCTCTTAATGGAAATAGATCACATGTACAGAAATACAGAAAATTACACAAATCCTAATGTACAGCTTAAAGAATTTTCTCCAGGTGTACAATACACTGAATAACCACCATCTAATCAAACAGAACATTAACACCCAAAGGTAAGTCCCCCCTGCCCCATCCCTCTCCACAAAAGGATAATCACCTGACTGCTAACACCAAAAAGTAGTTTTACCTGCTTTTGAGCTTTTCATAAGTGGAAGTTCATAGCACACATTGTTTTATGACTTATTTTTCTCATCATTATGTCCTCGAGGCCCATCCATGCTACTGCATGTAGCAAAATTCATTCTCATTGTATATAGTATTTTCCATTCTATTCTGCATGGGCCTTTGGACTATATCTAATTTAGAACTATTATGAATAGTGCTGCTATGAACAATCTTATCCATGTCATTGACTGCATAGATATATATATTTCTGTTGTGTAAATACCTAGGAGTGGAATTTCTGGATCACAGGGTATACATATTTTCAACTTTAGTAGATACTGCCTAATAGTATCCCAGAGTGACTGTTGAAATTTATATTCTTACCTTCAGTTTATGAGAGTTCCAATTGCTCAACATCCTCACCAGTACTTGTTTGCCTGTCTTTTTTACTTTACCCATTTGGTGAGTGTGCAGGGTTATTGCATGGTAGTTTTAATTTCATTTCTATGATGAATAAAAATGTTGAGAATCTCTTCAACTGATTATCGATCAGCCACTTTCCTTTTCTCTTTTGTGAAGTGTCAGCACAAATCTCTTGTCCATTTTTCTACTGGGTTATCTTTTTCTTATTGATTGTAGCAGTTGTTTATATATTCTGGAAATGAGTCCTTTGCTAAATATATGTTTTTCAAACATTTTTCTCGAAGAGATAAATTTCAGTATGATATAAAGAATCTCCCTATTACTGGAAAAGTTTAGAGAGAAAAAGTAGCCACAAATTAGGGATGCTGAAGACAATACTTGCACTGGGTAGATGGACTAGATAATAACAATAAAAAAACATAGAAAATGTACTATTAATCAAATTATTTGTACATACTTGACTTCATTTGACCCTTTTAGAACCTAGCAGGATAACACTGATGTCTTTGCCCATTTTTTAAATTCCTGCTTTATTTAAAAATGTTTAAGCTTGGCTTCCTAGGAGTTAGGCTAGGTCAACATAATTTAGTGGTCAGTCAGTGGTTGAGCTAGTAAGCTTCTACCATTTGCCGATGGATCTGTGTGAGGATTGGGGAACACATTCAAAGTTTAGGTCACTTGCAAACCTGCCCCATCCTTTACCTTCTACATGTGCATGGCTTCACATGTGGCCAAGGTAGACTGCTAGTGCCTGCTCAGGTCTCTCATGAGCATGCATGTAGCTTTATGTCTATGTAGACTTCCAGACCATGAAGAATATGTTGGAGTTTATCAAAGCCCATTATAGCTTCCATGTTCCCTAAATCTTCCTGTTAAATTAGTGGAAATACATCAGTGTCTTGGCATAAATACTTAGCATAAACTCAGATGTGATCTGTTTGCCCCAACCAGTATCACAACCTCAGCTGTGATGTTGGCCTTTCTCACTTGCCACTGAGAATACTATCATCTTGACAATGCCCCAATTTTCCAATTCTGCTTCCTCTAGCAATGAGGCTGCAGGTTTCCCTGGGAGAACTACTGCTCCGTGCAGCTGAATGGGATATGCAAGCAGCACAGGTCAAAATACCACAGACCCCACCATTCTTACCAAAGTTTAGTATATTTTCTTGAATAAATGCTTCTCAATTTGTTACATACCTTTTCAGAGTCCTTAGGCTGTTTGGGGCTATGTTTCCCATTTTATCATTACCTTTCGGGAAGAAGATTTGCAGAGCTCCTTACTCAACCATTCCCAAAATTCCCTCCCTGCTTTAAGGATACTTCCCGGAAAACCCATATAACCCTTCTACTTTGGCCAGAATTTAGGCACCTGGACAAACACTGTTTGCAAGGGAATGTAAGAGGTGTAATCTTTATTTATACAGCAGCATGCCCAGTCAAACTCACATTCATTCATAGTTATACACATTTGTGCACACATATGCATTACACACAACAGAAACCAAGGTCCTGTTAATTTGAGAGAGAAGAGAAAACAGAGAATTGGTAGGCAATGAATAGTCTGAATAAGGCCACATTGTGACTTATGGATAGGCAAAATAAATATAAAGATGACAGCATCCCTGAACTAGTCTATAATGTCATCTGAATGAAAATACTAGTGAGATAACCAAATTATGCAAATATTGATTTGGAGAAAAATTTATGATAGTTACATAGCTATGAAAAAAAAATTTTAAAGAAGACCAAAGAGGTGAAATCAGCCCTATCAGATAATAAGATGTCAGGAATCCAAGCCCTTTATAGTTTCCTTCTCTGTCATCAACAGGGCAGAAAACCTATGAAAAATGTTTGCATTCATATGATGAAAGGCTACTTTCCTTTACATACAAATAAGTAAGAAAAAGATGAATAGTATAATTTAACAATAAGGTGATTTTTACTTTTTGTTTTTAAGAATTGCTTTAATCATCCAAGTACCATATTCTTGGTAGGGAGCTATTTACATCTGGAGTCATGGAAGGACACTGGATAGAGAGGCCACAATTTCTAGTTCTTCTGCAGACATTGAATACCAAAATACCACCCAAATTCCAAAAAGAATGAAAGAGGTACATTACTCTGGACCCCTTATAAGTTAAAATAATTGAAAGGAAATTTTATGAATATTTTCTGTGTTTAAATTAGACAACTCAGATGAAATGGACAAATTCCTAGAAAGGCACAAATTACCAAAACTAACTCAAGAAGAAACAGAACACCTGAACAGATCTATGCCAATAACAATATCAAATAATCAATAAAAAATAATCTTTCCACAAAGAAAGCTCAGGCAGCATCCCTGATGAAGTCTATCAAACATTTAAGCAAGAAATAATACCAATCTTTTACAAACTCTTCCAGAAAATAATGGAGGAGAAACACCTTTTAACTCATTTTATGTGACCAATAATATCCTGCTACCAGACAAAGATATCACAATAGACCTAGATCCAAGATATACAACAGACCAAGATCAACATAGTGGGGGAAAAAAGCAAATGAATGCAGCAACATATTAAAATATATATATACCATGACCAAGTGGTGTTTATCCTATATATGCAAGGTTAGTTTGTATCTGACAGTAACTTAACATACTATATTGATAGAATAAAGAACAGAAACCACATTTCAATAGGTACAGAAAAAGCATTTGATAATATCCAACACCTCTTCCTATACAAACTAGGGATAGAGGGGACATCCTCACATTGATAATGGGCATCTGTGAAAACCCATAGATAATATCAGTGGTCAAAGAATGAATGTTTCCACTTAATGAATGTCTATTCTCACCACTTCTCTTCAATATCATATTGGATATTTCACTGACCAGTGCATTAAGGCAAGAAAAGAAAGAAAAGGCATTCAGATTGGAAAGAACTAAAACTGTCTTTATTTGCAAACAACATGATCCTGAATACCGAAAACCCTACATAATCTCAAAAAACAAAAAACCTACTAGAATAAGCAAGTTTAGTAAGGTCCCAAACAAGATGCAAGGTCCATATGCAAAAATAATTATATTGCTCTACATTAATAATGAATAATCCAAAAACGAAATTAAGAAAACAATTACATTCACGATAGCACCAAAAAGAAATACTTAAGAAGAAATTTAACAAAAGAAGCAAAGGTCTTGCACACTGAAAACTACAAAACATTGCTGAGAAAAATTAAAGACAACCTAAGTGAATGGAGAGATAGACCCTTTTCATGGATTAGAGGACTCATTATTGTTAAGATGGCAGTTCTCCCAAATGCACCTGTAAATTCAATACAATCTCTATCAAAATCTCAGCAGACATTTTTATAGAAACAGACAAGATGATCCTAACAATTTTATCATATCATGTTACTCCTCTGCTCAAAACTCTGTAACAGCTTCCTACAGCCAAGTGAAAGCCAGTCTTTACCATGACTCCAAGGCCTTACATCATCTGGCCCCCACTGCCTTTCTGATTAATCTCCCCCCATTCACTCCACTCCAGCATAAATGCTTTTTCTGAAATGCACTAAGCAAATTTCTGCCCCAGGGCCCTTGTACTGGCTCTTTCCTCCGTCTAGGAAGTTTTCCCTCCAGATAACCAGATAACTAGTAGAAGGGCTAGTTCATTCAAGTATCATCTGCTCAAAGAACTCTCTTCTGACCATCACATAAAAAATAAACTAGCACTCCAGTCATTTCCTGCTTTATAGCACTTAACACTTATCACTTGATTCCACCAGGATGTAATCAAGTATTGCAAAAGCAGGGGGTTTGTTTTGTTGTTGCTGAAGTCTCAGGATCCAGACTAGCACCTAACACATGGGAGGCACTCAGTAAATATCTGTTTAATGACTGAATATGTGGGTTAATGAAAGTGGATGATAGTCCCTGCTCTATCTGCAAAAATGCCCTGTTAATATCATGAATTATATATGATAGAAGAGAAAGGAGGCAAGAAGAAATGGAAGAAAGTGTAGTATAGCTATTAGTGAATGAATAAGAAAAGGAGGAATGGGATAAGTCAGGAAAATAACTGTTAGATGAAGTACATCATTCATATTTGTAAGTATATGCAGTCTAAAAAAGGGAGTTTAATTTGAAGAAAGAAATTTATGTATAATTATACAAACTCAGAGAACAAAACAGTTTATCCATGAGTTAGATGCATACTATAGCTAAAAATATTAAAAGACTAAGAAAAAGTATGCATTGCAGTTTATGAAACTATGGTGGAGGCTTATTAGAGCACGCCCTCCGCATGGGATGAATGTTTCGGAGTGGCACTTGATGCGTGGACAGGATCTCCCGAATCTTGTCCTGGCAAATCTTGTTTGCTGCCATTCCTGCTTCAAATTCTTGGCGTCCCTCTTTTTTCTCCGCTTCCCGGGCCTGCTGCTGGTAGGACATTTGCATCTGTAGTTGCTTCCTGTACTCCTGGGCTAAACCTGAGCGTCTGAAGTATTAGAGATGTCAAAGTATAAAATTATAAAAGTGAGCATTTGGATTTATTTAGTGAATTACAGTTAGAATGTAATTTGTGAAGTCTAATTAAAATGCCCATTAAAATCAGGGTGAGTGGGGAAGAAACAGATGAAAATTCAATAATGTGTTTATTACACAAAAATAATTAAGATAATCTTAGAAACATTTAATTTTCTTAGAAACATTTCATTAATCTTAGAAACACTCAAAATATTTACTGTGATGTGGAGCCAATCCTTGGCCTCTCGCCATCCCCCTCTCTCACTCCTGTGCACGGAGGAAGTGACTTATCTTTCGGTAACATTGGGAACAGACTAGTCGGCCTGTTTTCCACTCTGCTCCCTTTCAAAGGGCCGTGCCCATGCAGGGGAGGCCTGCGCTGGTCCAGCACTGCTGGTGGCTGGGTAGGTGAGTTTGCCTCATTCTGCTCAGTATTAACCAGACAATTTCCTCCATATATAACTCCTCACATTTTAAAATTTATAGTGTGATTGTTTTTACTGTAGTAAAAAACACAATGTAAAATCTACCATCTTAACTATTTTTAAGTGTACAGCTCAGGAGTGTTAAGCACATTCACACTGTTGTGAAACAGACCCCCAGGCCTTCGTCATCTTGCAAATATGAAACTCTATTACCTGCTAAACAGCAAACCTCTTTTCTGGCTCCCTGCCACCCCATCTGACTATTCCAGGTACCTCATCTAAGTAGTCTCATTCTGTGATTGGCTTATTTCATTTAGCATAATGTCCTCAGAGTTTATCCATGCCATGGCGACTAACAGGATTTCCTTCCTTTTTAAGGCTGAGTAATATTCTATCCTAGGCACAGACCACATTCTGTTTATCCATTTATCTGCTGATGGACATTTGGGTCATTCCCCCCACTTGTCTCCTGTGAATAGTGCTGCTGTGAGCACAGCTGTGCAAATATCTCTTTGAGGTCCTCTTCTCAATCATTTTGGACATATACCCAGAAGTGGGGCTGCTGGATCCCAATTTTTCGAAGAAACTCCTTACTGGTTTCCATAGTGGTTGCACCACTTTACAATCTATAGGCTACATTCTCAACATCAGCTTTTATCAGAAAGAAAGATTATAACATGCACATGTCTCTACGGCAGATTTTATTTTCCAATGATGGCCATGGTGATATTGTCCCTCCCATATGCTTTTCTACAATGTGAACTTCTACTCCTCTTATCAAAAAGTAGAACTTACTTCTCCATCCCCTTGAATCTGGAATGTGCCTGGTGATGACTATTATGATCAACTGAGTATGACAAAAGTGATGCTATGCCAGTCGTAGGTATAGCCCTTAACTTGCCTGGCAGCTTTCTTTTCCTGTCCCTTGGAATGTTTGCTATTGCAGCTGTCCCTGGTCAGACCAGCCACCATATTGGGGGAAGCCCAAGCTACATGGAAAGGCCACATGTAGGTGTTCTAGGTGATAGCATCAGATGAGGTTCCCAGCCACAGTCAGCATACACTGCCAGATATATGAGCAGGTATCTTAAGTGCCCACTCCAGTTGAGCCTTCTGATGAATGTACGTAGCCCCAGCCAACATTCAACTTGCACCATGTGACAGACCCCAAGCAAGAACCATCCAGCTGAGCCTTGTCAACCATAGACTCATGAGAGATCATCTTAACTCACTTCAAATCACAAATTCTTGGTGTTTCGTTATGCATCAATAGGTAATTGTAATACCTTCTGCCCATACTTGTTTTGCTTATCTCTCAGTTGATTTAGAAGTAGTGCAGGGAAGAGAGTTGCTATTCATTAAATCCCACTCACATCTCCAACAACAGACTTTTCAAAAGTAGGAAGGAAAAACCTCTAGAGCAGAAGCAGTAGCAGGAAGTCAGTAAGGTAGGCCAGTTACTGTTGTCAGTACCCCAAACTGACATTAGGCTCAGGCACTTAAACTATACTCTTTCTAGAAACAAAAGAACTTATTTCTATGCACAATGTGTGGCTGAGTCAAGGACAAGCACCAGGGACAGGGAGAGTGACCAGCAATTAGAGGAGCCAGATCCTCTTCCTCCACCACACTAGTTGCCTGAATTGGGTATCAAGGCTGAAAGTGAGAAGGGACTGCTGTGGTCTGAGAAAGGCTGCAAAGGGGTTCTGCCTATTTCCTCCGCCTAAGCCTGACTGGTAGCAGAGCAACACTTGTCAACGGAGGCAGTGGTATTTCCCAAAGCACCCTGAGCATTTCAGTTTTCCAGGCCAGTGAAGCTGCAAAAATCCTCCAGAGGACACTTGCAAGGATTCCTATCCCCCTAAGCTGTTCCTGCTAATCTAACTATAATCAGGCCACACTGTATTTCAGGGTTTATTTCATGAGGGATAAAAGTGTCTTGTTATTTCATTAAGGTGTGGGGTTGGTCTCTATCTTTTTTAATTGTTTCCAATTTGTTTTATTTCCTAAGACATTCGTCCAGTTTAATACGTATTGTGTATAATCAGAATGTACACAATAGCAATAGAATTTAATGTTGCCAAGATGGTTGGTGCTCATTTTTGTATGAAATTCTGTAAACTGACTTGAGCTTTTAGGACAAATGTAGTACTGATATAAAATAATCTCAATAATGCATGTATTATGACACCTTATTCTCAATGTTAAAAATCTCTTTTTTTTTAAGTTAGTAAATAATAATAAAGAAAACAATATCATACCTTGCAAAATTCTCCTCCTCTTCACGGTTAAGCTCTTTAAGACCTTCATTTACGCGTTCCTGTTCCATGGAGCGTTCTTCCTGTTCTTTGGCTTTTCGCTGCACTAAGAAAGACAAAAACTATTTTTACTAGTCATGTAGTCATCTCCATTCAGAAAAGAATAAGCTGTAGGTTCTTATGTGCTATGATTGACATGGATTTTCTCTTTGTCATTTTGCATTGACAATGTATCATTGGCCGTTTTCAAGCCAAATTACCACTATTAAAACACTTCTCACCTTCCTCTTTTTGAGGACAGTTCTATTGACACTTTATGTTAATAAGAGTTTATTTATTAAAAAATAAACACTGGAAAAAGCATTAGTATAGAAGGTATTTATAAATTATAAAAGGAGAACTTAAGCATTCTAGTAGAAAAAAATAACAAAGAAAATTAAGTTCACAAAAGAATAAATACAACTGGGAAATATACATCTGAAATGTACATATCTTTGGTCGCAAAATCCATTTATAGGAACTTATTTAAGCAATGATATATGAGCCAAATAATAGCTATAGAGATGGTAATCTGCAATGCTAAAACAGTAGTTAAAAATATTCAAAACAATCTGAAACTCCATTACTTGTGTTTAGATGAAATAAATTATGGTCCATTTTTATAATGGACATTTAGACAGCATTACAAATCCTATAACTGAAGAAAAATGACCTGGAAAATGTTTATGATAAGTGGAAAATGCAGGCTGTAAAACAATGTATACAATATGATCCTAATTTGTGAGGGGAAATTATGTACATAGTAAAATACTCGAAGGATATATATGAAGTTGTGAATAGTAGCTATTCCTGGGGGTTAGAATTAAGGTTCATTTAGTTTCTTTGTTTACAAATAGTTCCAAAACTTAAATTTTCCATGTTTTCTTAATATATTCTAAAATATTTATCTATGTGGCTTAACACAGAAATCTTTTTAGCTTCTAAGTTTTCTTCTCATTTTCTCAAAACTTCATCTAATAATGACTTGACAATTTTCAACTACTGTTATAATTCCTGGAGTGGAGAATCAATCAATAGAACCAAGTTAAGCTTTCTCTTGCAAAGACAACTAGTGTGAAGTCTAACCGTACCCTAATAATAAATCAATTGCTTCTTCAGTTCACTGGCCACACATAGAAAGGTGGAAATCTTGGAGGTGGCAGTTCATCCCCTCAACAAATATTTCCTTTTATGACCAAGCACTGTTTGAAGCTGAGGGAATACAATGGTGTGCTAACAGATATGTGAGCAAGCCACAGTGAAAGCCTCAGAAAGAAGATTTATTATGAACAGGGGAACAAGAAAGGAGACATGTGAGCTAGCTTAAAGGATGTCCAGAATTTCTCAAGATCAAAAGCATCATAGGTTCTACCCTAGCAAAGGTATGCAGGTGTAGAGATACCTGCGGAAAGAAAAGAGCGACACATAAAAGGGACGAGGGGGCAAATGTGTGTCTGTCACATCTTCTCACTCTCCTTTATAATCACTAATGCTCACAGACGGTTCAAAGGACATACTGTTCCTTTAACCTTGAGAACATCTCCTGCGTGACTGCTCCAAATCTGCTGGGATATAAAACTCTTCAAGCTTATATGTCCCGTACTCAATTATGTAAGTTCTGCCAAGTGGGGATCTTGCCTTACTCTTTTTTATATCTCTCATTATTTCACACATAATATTATAAATTTAATAAATATTTTGTTTGCTACTTGTTGAATTAAGATCCAACTATAATATAATTATAATGCATTTCCTTACACTTTTCTTGAACTTGAAGTTTTCTTGTACACATGACCTCATTCACAAGTTGTTTCCTTGCCTCCTTTTCAAGTCTCAGCTCCTTGTCCTTCTCAGCCAACTTCTTTTCCTTCTCTTCCTCTAATATTCTGTCCAATTCTTTCTCCTGAGCTTTTTCTTCCTCCCATTGTTGTGCCAAATACTGACGATATATCTTCTGTTCTCTTATCAAATCTTCCTACATAACATAAAAATTACCTCACATTGTTATAACTTCTAGGTGTGATAATGATATGGAGAGGTTTAAAAACAATCTTTTAGAGCTATAATCCCAGTCTTTAAGAACTACATACAGAAACTTTTACATATGAAATACTATGTCTAGAGTTTACTTCAAAATATTCAGGTATGGTGGTATGGAATGAATGGGAGTATAGACGAAACAAAAATGGCTACTAGTTGATGGCTATTGAGGCAAGGTGATGGACACATGGGAACTCATGTACTCTTTGGATCTTTTGAAATGTTTTATAATATAGTTTTGAATAAGTTAATCCACTTTCCCAAAGTGTTTCTCAAGGCAGTTCTCAATTTTAGAAATGGAGAACAGATTAGTTGTTGCCAAGGGTTAAGAAGAGGGTGGGGACAAGAGGAAAGTTGGTGTGTCTATAAAAGGGAAATATGAAGGATCCTTGTAGTGATGGATATGTTCTGTATCATGGCTGCATCAGTGTCAACATCCTGGCTCTGATTTATATGATCATTTTGCAAGGTGGTGTCATTGAGAGATGCTGAGTGAAGGGTACATGGGATCTCTCTGTATTATTTCTTACAACTGTATGTGAATCTACAGTTATTCTAAAATAAAATATTTAATTAAAGAACATAGTAGCAGACTTCTGATTTCCAGTCTGGCATGAAAGGGGCTTAGAAGTTGTTATTCTGTCCTAATAAGTAAAAAGATGAACAATCTGAAAAAGTAACAACTATCTTCGATCCACAGAGGTGAGGTCCTAGGGCAAACCACAGACCCCAGAGTTGTAGAGCCAGACAGGTGAATATAGAGAATCACAACTTACCACAGCAGAAACCCATGAGCAGAAACTTCTTGGGAACCAGTGCTGTATAGGAAAATCTGAACTTAAATTAATAAATTGATGGTAGTTCAGTGTGGACAACTCTTAAGAGTCAAAAACTCTAAAAAGGCCCAGTTATGGGGTGGTGGTGGTGAGGCACATTTCTATGAGTTCTACCTCCTGGAGCTCTACCAGGTTCCCACAGTGAGTATCAGAGAACAATCTGCTCATGGTTCCAGAAGGTAGATGGCTAAAGGAACCACTCTGAAACACACCAGAGCACATAACTGGTACAATAACAGCATGACAGTCGACTGGTGTTAGATTTCCTACTGACTGAACAGGGTACAATCTGTTCTATACAGGGTACTTCTCACTTCATGTATATTAACACTCAGGACAGGCACAGGGCAAACTCCAGAAGATATCTCAAGAGATACAGACCACACAAATTGTAATTAAAGTATTTCAACAAATTCTCACACTCCAAGGTATCTTACTTTTTTTTTTCCTGACTCTCGGCATGCACTTGAGGGCAATGGCTAAGAACTGGATTCCAAACAATAGTAAGTCTATTCATTACAGGCTTCATCATCATTGCTTTGGTTAAATACACTTTACAATAGCTTTGTAAATAACTATATATTTAATATGTAAATATACCTATGCCTTTAACATATTCCCTATACAAGTGATTGCTATTCCTGATGCTGAGGAATCACAGGATAGATTGTCAAGAGTTTAGCTAAACTACTGTACAGTGCTGCTGCCTTGGCATACATTTGGTTTGGTCAAGGAGCCTACAGTGACCTGAAATTGACACTGGCCTCTCATGCACATTCATGCCCTAGAGAGTAACCACAGTCATAAGCAAATATAAGTTCCTGATATGACTTCCCCAATAGCCCCTGTGATCAATAGTTTTTCCTACCTCCCAATGCCTTCCCCTTATGTGCTTCTTAGATAAAACCCCCGTGAAGCTTACTAAAACCCTGCTCTTTTGGTTTAGACTGACAAATCTGGCCTTAGCCTGGGAAACCAAAGAGCTTCATCCATGGATCCTATTAAAGGCATGTACCCAGGTCCTGCCTCTCCTCTCTTTGTCTGTACTCTGTCTTGACTTCCCTGTGTGGCCCTTGGAGACATACCGTATACTCCCCCAGGGCCTGTGAGTAATAAACTGTTCTATTTCAATTTATCTTATGGTGTGTTGTTGAACCACAGGCTTACCATTCAGCACCCTGTGCTACACTTAATAAGTGTTAACTTGACAAATTTATAACATATACAACAAAAGCAATGTTTAGAAGGAAATTTATAGCAGTGAATATATATGTAATATATGTATATTTCCTAATATATATAAGGAAAGAACAAAGATATAAAATAATCTAAGATTCCAGCTTGGGAAATTAAAAAAGAAGATCAAATTAAATCCAAAGCAAGCAAAAAATAAATCAATTAATTAAAACAGCAGCAGAAGTCACTGAAATTGAAAACAGGAAATCAAGAGAAAATCAATGGAAACAAAAGTTAGTTATTTAAAAATATCAGTAAACCTCTAACTAGACTAAAAGAAAGGGAGAGGGACAAAAATCACTAATATCAGAAATGAGAGAGGAGACACCCTTATAGATCCAACTGACATTAAAAGGATAAGGAAGAAATACTGTGAACAACATTATGTTCATAAGAATAATAACCCAGAGAAAATGGACCAATTCTTTGAAAGACAGAATCTGCCAACATTCACACCAGAAGGAGAGTATAATCTGAATAGGCTTATACTTATTATTAAATAAACTTAATTATTAATTAATAATCTTCTCAAGCAGGAAAAAAAAACAGGTCCAGGTGAGTTCACTGATGAATTCTACCAAACATTTAAGGAAGAAATTATTCCAATTCTCTATAATCTCTTTCCCAAGATAGAAGCAGAAGGAATACATCCTAACTCATTCTAGGAAGCCAAAATGATCTTAATACCCAAAGAAGACAAAGACATTACAAGAAAATGATATACTAATATCTCTTGTGAACATAGATGCAAAAATCCTCAACAAAATAGTAAGTCAAATCCAGCAATGTATACAAAGAATTATATATTACAACCAAGTAGGATTTAATCCATATATGCAAGACTGATTCAACATTCAAAAATCAATTAATGTAATCTATCATATTCAGCTAAAGAAGATGGTCATATCAATAGATGGAGAAAAAAATTTGACTCCAACATCTATTCATGTTAAAAACTTTCAGTGAACTAGGAAAAGAGGGGAACTTCCTCAACTTGATAAAAAATAGCTACAAAGATCCTACAACTAACATCATACTTACTGGTAAGAAATTGGCAGCTTTTTCAACTAAAATCAGGAATAAGGCAAGGAAGACCCCTCTCAATAGTCCTTTTTAACATTGTACTGGAAGTCATAACTAATGCAATAAGAGAAGAAAAGGAAATAAAAGGTACATTTATTGTGAAGAAAGAAATACAATTATCTCTGTTAAAAAAATAATACAATTATCTATGTAGAAAATCTGAAACTCCTGGAACTACTAATTATAGTAAGATTGCAGGATGCAAGGTTAATATATAAGTCTACTGCTCTCCTGTATGCCAGCAATGAAAAAGTGACATTTGAAATTAAAAACACAGTACCATTTACATTAGTACCCTCAAAAGTGAAATATATACATGAAAATCTAATAAAATATTAGATTTAAATAATATTTATATATTTTATATAATATTTATGATTTATATAATATTTATATTTATAAATTTATATGAATTTTATGTTTATATAATATTAGAGCTATATAAGGAGAAGTACAAAACTGATGGAAAAAATCGAAGAACTACAGAATAGGGAGATGTTCCATGTTCATGGATAGGAAGACTCAATATTGTCAATATGTCAGTTCTTTCCAACTTGATCTATAGATTAAATACAATAACAATTAAAATCCCAGCAAGTTATTTTGTGGTTATAAACAAAATCCCAGCAAGTTATTTTGTGGACAAAATGATTCCAAAGTTTATATGGAGAGGCAAAAGACCCAGAATTGCCAACTCAATATTGAAGGACAAGAACAAAGTCAGAAGACTGACATACCCAACTCCAAGACTTACTTTAAAGCTAAATTAATCAAGACAGTATAGTGTTGGTGAAAAACAGACAAATAATAGATCAATAGAAAAGAATAGAAAGCCCAGAAATAGATCCACACAAATATAGTCAACTGATCTTTGACAGAGAAGCAAAGACAACAAATGGAGTTTAGAGAGTCTCTTCAACAAATGGTGATAGCATAGCTCTATATCCACATGAAAAAAAAAAGGAATCTAGGAATAGACCTTACATCCTTCACAAAAACTAACTTGCATCATAGACCTAAATGTAAAGCACAAAATTAAAAACTCTTGGAATATAACAGGAGAAAATCTATATGCCCTTGGGTTTGGAGGTGAGTTTTTAGATACAACACCCAAAGGCATAAAAGAAATTGATAAGCTGGTCTTCATTAAAATTAAAAAATTTTGCTCTGTAAAAGATATTATCAGGAGAATGAAAAGACAAGCCACAGATTAGGAGAAAACATTTTTAAGACATACCTAATAAGGGATCGTTACCTAAAACATACAAAGAACTCTTAATATTCAATAATAAGAAAACAAACCACCTGATTATTTTTTTTTAATGAGCCAAAAACCCCAGAGAAGACAGCAAATAAACACATGAAAAAAATGCCTGTGATAATGTGACTTGGTCTTTATCTACTTCTGGCACAGAGCTCCTAAAATCCTTAGACTTTTCCAAATGCTAATAATGACAAGGGTTTCTTTTGTTATGTTAATGGTGACTTTTGGGCAGCACGTATAATTGGGGGCTGGTTGCCAGGGAGAACTAACTGTATGATTAGAAGGCTGGTACTTTTAGTCCCATCCACCTGACTTTTGGGGAGCTGAGAGGGGCTGGAAGGTGAATAAATTGCCAGTGGCCAATTATTTAATCAATTATCTATGTAATGAAGCCTCTGTAAAAGTCCAAAAGGAAAGGGTTTGGAGAGCTTCCAGTTTGGGGAACCAGAACAATTTTCTGTTACTGTGCCAGGTCCCAAACTCCACAAGGACAAAAGTTCCTTTTTTCAGGCCTTT